CGATCGAGTCAACACCAGGGCCCTCCACCACCTCAAACAAAGCAGCTCTGCAGTGCCTTTTCACTGGGCGTTAATCAAACTCCCTAGCTCGTGGGAAGGGGATGTGACTGAGTACAACTCCCCAGGTGCCCAAAGGTCAAGGAAGCAAAGAGCCCGTGGAAATAAAGACCAGTCCGAGACACACCAGGCTCAGACGTCAACTTCTGAGCGTCTTCACGTGCCAGCACTGCCCTAGGGTTGGCATGGACCTAAAAGGCTGGGCCAAAGCCCTCCTGTGTTTGCAGCCTCCAGAATAGCAGGGATTCATGCGCACTGCAGCCAGTAGGAACCAGTCCTAGCACACAACTCTCGCCACTCCATTTTTTCTTTCACTGACAAGAAGCTTCTGTCCACCTTTATCTTACCAGTCCTTCTTCCTTCCCAAAAAGACTGCTTGCAAGCCTCTGGAGATGCAAGAACAGGCAACGCAGGCAGAGAAGCAGGACAGGTAACAGGCCACAGGGACAGCGCAGGCTTAAGGCCATGGTCATGGCCAGTTCAATCCCTGGTATCCACATATGCTTTCCTGAGCACAGCCAGGAGTAATCCCTGAGCAATGCTGGCAGTGGCCCAATTTCCACCCCCATCTCACCCCCCAGAAAAGGCAGGACTACTAGAAGGAAACATTCTAATAGGCTGAATCCCATGAAACTGCCAATACTGCTTGTTTCAAGCTACAAAAATGACAAGTTTTGGATCAGGAGGTGGGGGCGTTGTGTGTTTTGGATCACAACCAGCAGTACTCAGGGTTTACTGGACTCTGCACTCAGACCCGGGTCAGCTGTGTACAAGGCAAGCGCCCTACCTGCTGTATTATCACTCCCCCCGCCAAAATGTCAATTTTATATGGCTGTACTTCTACCAGGTAGATTTCTAACAATTCTTGCATAGCTAACTACTGCTCTTCGAACCGATTATCAGAGATTCCCTTCAGCTTCCAACCTCACAAGATGACCAAGACACCACCAACTGGGCCAAGAGGACCATCTCAGGATGGACCACACAGGTGGGAAGGCCCCTGCCTTGCACATGGCTGCGGTGGCTACAACCCTGGTTCAAATCCAGGAACCACAAATGGTCCCGAGTTCTGCCAGGGGTCACTCCTGAGCACGGAGCCAGGAATGGGCCCTGAGCACTGCCAGGTATGATCCAGAGTCCAAAAAGAAATCATCTCAATAGATTTTTCCAAAGAATGAACTCTCACAGAGTGTACGTAGCTTCTGACTACATCAGAATGAAATCAGAAACCAATGGTGTCATGTACAAGTCCCAACAACTTACTTTTAAAGACTCTGTGGTTCAAAAACCACACACACACACACACACACACACACACACCCTCAACACAAAGGAAATAAAAAAGACTTTGAAAATGACAAGATGTGTAGACTACAATGAAAGTTGTCCTTAGAGGAGAATTTATGCTTTAGAGGATTGTTGGAGGAAATAAAAGATGGTCTAAAATCAAGGACCTAACATACTTAAGAAGCTAGAAAAGGAAGAACAGTTTAAATCCTATTTAAATAGGAGGGGGGGGAAAAGAATAGATCGAGAAATAGAAAACAGACAAGAAATGAGATGGGAGGAGGAAAAATGAAAAGCCAGTTTATCTTCAAGATAAAAGCTGAGCTACACTGATTAAGAACAAGGATGACTCAGTTTTAATAGCAGGAAAGAAAGAGATGACAACTCCGAACCTCCAAATATGAAAAGAATCAATACAAGAATTTTACAAACTATACAAACTCCAGGGATTGGGTGAACAGCCAGGGGCAGAATTCAGCTTGTTACCTATGAGACAGTTGGATCAAAATAAGGCACAATGCCGTACTACAGATTATCTCTGGTGTTTCTGCACTTGAACAATATAGTTGAGTATCTGGGAGCAATACAGCACCCGACAAAGTCAAAAACACTATCTGACCCTTTACACGTTTTATTTTTGGCTTTTGGGCCCCATTTAGCAGTACTCGGGGATTACTCCTGGCTCTGTGCTCAGGGGACCGTGTGGGGTGCCGGGGATCGAATCTAGGTTAGTGTACGTAGCTTCTGACTAGCAAGCAAGTACCCTTCAGCCTCCAGCCCTACCTTAACAAAGTTTGACACTAAAGAAACTAGACAAACTCCTTCAATTACACAAACACCAAAATTAGTCCAAGCAGAAACAACGTAAATAGCCCTATGGAAGGTGATTTTGTAGTTGCCCAAATCTCACAAAGATCTCCCAGTCTATGTGGCGTTTCTAGAGAATTCTATCAAACAGTTGGGCATTAATACCAATCCCATAGCAACCTTGTGCAAAGAGAGGAGAAACGCTCTTCAATTCATTCTATGAGGTCAGTATTATCCTGATTCCAGAACCAGAGAAAAGAAAAAGAAAGCAAGAACTTCAGAGATAAGAAACTAGCCTCTAAAAATTAACCCTGAGCTGACCCGTCACATTCTGAGGGACAGTTTCAACAAAGCAAACAAAACCAATAGCTAAAGAGCAAAAGAGATAAGACAAGCTGGTGAGAACATACCATTAGATCCACATCCCTGCATTTTCTGGAGGCACCTGGTAATAAATATCTCACATTCCTGGCGCCCCCACCTCTGCTCCACGCTGTGGCCCCAGGCTCTCCCCTCCACTCCAGCACTGAGCATAGCGTTGCTGATGTCTGGAGCATTTAGTGCTGGGTCACCGAAGTCACAGGTGGGGCCCTGCACGTCTCACCTGGCTTAGGTTTGATGGACTCAAACCTAGTGCCAGAGTCCTCCGCGTACCCCAAGGCCACTGGCGCCCAGGACAGTCACGGTCATGGACCTTGGGGTGGGCTGCCAAGAGTGAACGAACTGGATCACAGAGAGACAGTGGCAGGGACAAAAATAACAGGCCATGGGATCCCAGACTGCGCTAGCTTCCTTGAAACCCCGAGCACTGCCTGAGCACCCACTGCCCCCCAAAACAGACGGTCTTTCGGGGAAATATCCAGCTGGCAGGGCATGTCCCCAGAAATGACTGTAGCGAGAAGGCTGCTCGGACGCCAGAATCTTGGCGTTGGGATCCAGCGAAGCACCGCCTGGATTTCCCCAGGCCCCCGACAGTGCGTACTCACAACTTCCTGCCCACTGCACCTGACACTTGGCCTCTCGTGTCCCCCTGCATCTCGTGTAAGCACGTGTTTATTCTCTCCAAAATTCCGTGAGGGCAGGGACCCTGCAGCCTCAGTTTATCACCCTACATCACAGAGTTTGGGCGCTAGGCGGGCACCAGATTGGACATTTGCTGAAGGCTGTTGAGATAGGATGAAAGCCGGCTATTTGCAACAGCTCGGATGGGCCTAGAAGACTTGACGCTGAATGACATAGGCCAGGCGGAGGAAGACAAACACCAACAGATTCCACTCTGACACGGCAGATAGAGAAAACAAACAGATGAACTAAAGAAAGCAAAAAGACATGTCTAGGCTATCACACCGGGGGGGGGGGGGGGGGGCGGTTACCAGAAGGAAGAAGGGGAGAGCAAACTTGGAAAAGGGGGGTTAAGTAAAAGTACAGAGTGAAGGACAAAACTGGACTTGCACTGTGACCTCACTGTATATACACCAGAGTTGACTTTCTGTTTTTCCCTGTTAGCTTTGTTCTATTTTCTTTTTCTTTTCTTTTCTTTCCTTTTTTTTTTTTTTTTTTTTTTTTGCTTTTTGGGTCATACCTGGCGATGCACAGGGGTTATGCCTGGCTTCGCACTCAGGAATTACCCCTGACGGTGCTCAGGGGACCATATGGGATGCTGGGAATCGAACCCGGGTTGGCCGCATGCAAGGCAAACGCCCTACCCACTGTGCTATCGCTCCAGCCCTATTCTATTTTATTTTCAGGCCACACCTGGCAGTGCTCAGGGCTTCCTCCTGGCTCTGTGCTCAGGGATCACTCCTGGCAGGGCTCAGAGGAACAGAGTGGTGCCAGGAATCAACTGCAGTGAGTCACATGCAAGGTGACCACCTTCCCCCCTGTGCTATTTCTCCAGTCTCATGCTGCTTTTTTTTCCCCTTTTCTGGTCACACCCAGCGATGCTCAGTGGTCCCTCCTGGCTCTGCACTCAGGAATTACTCTTGGCAGTGCTTGGGGGACCCTATGGGATGCCAGGAATCGAATCCGGGTTGTCCACATGCAAGGCAAATGCCCTACCCACTGTACTATCGCTCCGGCCCTCTCACTGCTTTTTTTTTTTTTAATTTTTATTAGTGGAAGACCATGACGTACAGTTGTAGACTGACAAATTTTTGTGCTTGGGTTTCGATTATACAATGATCAAATACCCATCCCTCCACCAGTGCCCATTTTCCACCACCATGGATAATATCCCCCCCAACCCCCCCTCCCACCCTGCCTCTGTGGCAGGGCATTCCCTTTTGTTCTCTCTCTCCTTTTGGGTGTTATGGTCTGCAAAAGAGGCATTGAGTAGCAATCATGTTCAGTCCATAGTCTACTTTCAACATGTATCTCCCCTCCTGGGAGGATCCTCCAAACACTCTTTATTTGGTGCTCCCTTCTCTATCTGAGCTGCCCTTTCCCCAAGAGTGCCCGGCTGGCCTCTAAGCCATGGAGCAATCCTCCTAGTACTGATCTCGGCTATTCTTGGGTATTAATCTCCTATTTTGTTACTTTATGTCCCCCAGATGAATGCAATCTTTTTTATGTCTATCCCTCTCTTTCTGACTCATTTCACTTAGCATGATACTTTCCATGTGGTACCACGTGTATGTAAAATTCATGATTTCATCTTTTCTAACCCTCTCACTGCTTTTCAATGACACTCGCCTAAAACCTCCACGGCGTTAACAGGCAACGTGACTTCAACCCAAACACATGCCTCTGCCGAAGCAACGACAAACACGACCGGGCAGTGCCATGGAGCAGTCTATGGCGGGGATGGAGGAGGCGCCCGTGCAGAGCCCCAGAAGAGAGAGTCAACTCACAGCTGGCATAGGAGCGGCTGTCATCCTCGCACAGCTGGTGCAGCTGCTGGTACTGCTCCTGAGCGAGAGCGAAGCGCTGCTGCTTAATCTGGTAGATCTCCTTCTTGGCGTTGAGCGCCTCCTGGGCCACGATCAAGTACTCCTTCAGCATCCGCTCCTGCTCCCGCCGCCACTGTTCCCGGGGGTCCTCAATCTGCGTGAGCTCTACGAGGGAAAGGAGGAGGTAAGCAGACGGGAAGGGAAGGGAAGCGAAGGAAAGCCCATTCCTGACCGGGTCACCCCTTCCAGAGCCAGTGATGGACAAAGCCTTCGCAGCCTGGGAACGCCGAACAACGGGGACCCTCCGCAGAATCAGGGACCGAGAAGACTGAGAACAGGCACCAAACCACTCCCTGGAGGGGAGACAATAGCAGACAACCTTTCACACCGGAAACAGATGCTGGCAGAGATGACCCCAGCAGCTGTCACTGTTATGAGACCAGATGTCCCAGCCTTCTCACGGCCCTTTGTCAACCCTGCTGTGTCCTGGCTTTCTCTGGAACTTGGGGAAAGAGGCAGTTTGCACAGTGCTGCGACTGCACTAAAGAACATGGAGCTGTGCCTTCAGAGGTCCCTGTGATGGCCTGTGAATGGCGCTTCCTACTGTGCAGAAGGACCACTGTCAGCCGTGTTTACTTCACGTGAACTCAGTGGTATGCTCATGAGATATTTCAAGCAAATTCTCCCTTTTATTTATTCACTTATTTATTTCTTAGGTATTTGGGTCACACTAGGCAATACTCAGCCATCAGTGCTGGTAGGGCTCAGGGGACCCTATGCAGTGTCGGGGATCAAACCAGGGCCGGCCACACGCAAGTGCCCTCCCTGGCCCAAGCTCTCCCTTTTAAAGCCCCTTTCACCAACATTCCCTATGCCACTCCACTCCTTGTGTCACTTCCACAGGGCCCCCTGGAAAGCTTACAAGGCGTTAACAGCTCTCAGGGGACAAGACCTTTCAGGGCCCTCCCTCATCGCAGAGTCCACAGGGGCCCGAGGAGGGCCAAAGCCAGAGCTGTGAAGAAAAGTCCAGATGTTTCTTAAGGCTGATGGCCCCGTCCTGGGGCTGACCAACATGCTCCCACTCTCTGAGGTGCCCACCTCGGTGGTGTCTGTGGCCTTCACACAGTGCTACCACCCCAGCCCCTCCTCATGAGCCTCTCGGGGCTTTGAAAACTGCACACCTGGAACTGAGCTCTGAGGGGCTACTTGCCCAGAATGCCGGCTCCCGCCTTTACACACAAACCGTTCCAACACGCACCCCCTTCCGGTTCCTGTGTGGGGGGGGGAGAGGTGGGCTGAGGCAGGCGGAGGTGCAGGGCACAGCGCTGGCAAGTTCACCAGCCCCGAGAGCCCTGGGCCATCACTCAGCTTGGGAGTTCGCTTGTGCCTAGAGCCCCCACTGAGTGGCTGGCACGGGGAGACGGCCCCCAATATTTTCAGGGCCTTAGTGAGCCCGAAGGCCAGCACCAAGGCCCACAGCGCAGGGGGCAAATGGATGACGAGTCAAGTTGATGAGAGAGACGAGCCAGGACGAGCCCCACGCCGAGCCGCCAACGGGAAGGAGGGTTGTGTAAGGTGCTGGATGCCAATGCCGCTTAGTAATGCCACCTGGGCCCAGGAAGGCCGGAAGCTGCGGATGAAAGCGTGAATGCGGCCCAAACACAGGACATGGTGGCCTTTACCTCCCGTGTGGTCGGCCCCGGCAGATGCGGCCCTCACCCACCAGAGAGCCCAGGTGGCATGGTGGACACACACACATGCAAGGTACCCACCAGAGCTTCGCTGGGCACTGCGCCCCGGCCACGGACTTGTGACAGCGACTAGGAAGCCAGGACTTGAGCCACTCGCCACCAATCACAGGCCCCGGTCTTTGTTGCCTCACCATGAATTACAAAGTTATCCATGACTGGGATTCGGGCATACCGTGTTTCACACCATCCCTTCCGCCTCCCTGGCCAGAGCCCTCTGGCAGACACTGGAATGCTGACGCTTACACACTACGGCTGACAGGCCTGTGACTGAGAGGGCTTCACGCTCAACACCCGAGCACCTTCCAGCAGCCCCTCCCTCCTGCAGAGGAACCCCTCCTCTCCCCTTCCGAGTGTTCCCTTCCTGGCCCTCTCCCCCAGCCCCAGTAAGCGGGCTTCCTGCTGAGGATCAGTTCTCGTGATCTCAATTTCTGCTGCCTTTGGCATCTGTTACTCCCTATGTTCCTTTACGTCCCAGGTGTGGGAGATCCTTCTGTCAGTCCCTCTCCGACTCGCTTCACTCAGCATGATACTCTCCAGATCCAGCTGCAGAGCAGCAAACTGCGTGACTCTTTTTTTTTTTTTTGCTTTTTTGGGTCATACCCGGCGATGCTCAGAGGTTACTCCTGGCTCTGCACTCAGGAATTGCTCCTGGCGGTGCTCAGGGGACCATATGGGATGCTGGGAATCGAACCTGGGTTGGCCGCGTGCAAGGCAAATGCCCTCCCAGCTGCGCTATCGCTCCAGCCCCGCGACTCTGTCTTTTCTTACAACAGGCCCAGTCTCGGGGACGAGCTAAAGGTAAGTGCAGGCTGGGTGCCCAGTATCGGAATGTTCCTACACACACACACACACACACACACACACACACACACACAGCAATGAGTCACATATATGAGCCTCCCACACACATGTACACACACACACGTACATGCACAGAAGCTGGCAAGACCCCAACAATGAGCAAAGCTGACAAGGACACCAAGTGACCCGGACAGTGAAATTAGCCCTGCTAGGACAAAATAATGGCACCCCACTCTGAGAGAGAGAACAGCAGGGAAGGCACTTAGCTTGCATGCAGCCGACCCTGGTTCAAGCCCCAGCATCCCATCAGCCTCCCTGAGCCCCACCAGGGGTCACTTCTGAGCACTGCCGAGCATGGCCCAAGCCCCTCACCACACACACACACACACACACACACACACACACACACACACCCCAAGAAAAGAAAAGACTGGCACACCAGAGCCTATCACTTTAGCTGAAGTCTTCTCCCTTCTCTGAGACCAAAGGTTCAGTGTACTATACTTACAAGAAACAGAGGTGACAAAGAGAAGGAAAGGGAACCTCTTGGGCATTTATTGTTCCAAGAACCTGAAGGCTCCACTTTGCAATCCACAACCTGTGGGTTCTGAGAGGTATTCAGTATCTGCAGGTTGCCTTGGGGGCTGATGCCTTATATTAGATAGTGAACTGTCCATTAAACACATTCCGTGACTTCCTAAGCAAGACAAGCAAGCGAGCGATAGGACGGCTTCCCTTTTGAAGACTCAACTAATGAACACTTGAGATCACATTTAGAAAATCCACTTTAGTGCCGCCTGGGACAACAGCATGGCCTGCGGCTTCTGTGAGAGCAACCTGCAAATGCATCCACATAGAAACACTGCAATGCAACACTCCACTTACTATTTATGTGGTCCATGTAATAAATTCCAATTTGTTTATCGTATACAGTTTCCCATCCTAAAGGAAGTTCGTCCCCGACACAATCGGCAAAGGTCAAAGGCTTCGTTATCCTGCAAAATAAAATCATAAAAGCAAAGTTAAAGGCCGGATCAATTTCGTGTAAGTTTGCTAACCTGAATGGAGAATGAATGTAAAATCATATCTGACCGCTTTTTGCTTCAATATTTGATTGGAGAATTAACTAACTTTGCCTAAATAATGAACGGTAAGAATTATCACTGCATTCACAGCTCAAAGCATCCTGGTCTCTAAGTGCAACTTCGCCAGAACAGACACTGACAGTCAGAGTGGGCAAAGCGAGCATTTTCTTCCAGGCAGCATGTGTGATGCTGCCTCCCCCACTTTCAGAGCCCCTACATTATGGCTCAAATCTCGCATGCACTGATGACATTTCCACCTACCAGTAGTCATGAACCACAGATCAAATGCCAAAAGCCACGCTGGGTGACAATGCAGACACAGTGTAGAGTAGGTATCTCCTACTCGGGCAGCCGGAGGAGGAGGCATCTGTGTTCCTTACACAGTAGAAAGCACAAAGGGTCCTTTATGTTTTCTGGGGGAAAGTAAGAACGTACTGGCAGAGGACTTCTCTGCTTAAAGTAAACGTGATCAAGGAAACAGTGGCTTGACACAGACGGGAAGGAAAAGAGTTCCAGATGGATCTGTAAGTAGAATCCCATTCCCCATCGCCCGGGACCCCAGTGATTGAGGAGATGCAGTGACAAGAGCATTGTTGGGTATGCAGTCACCATTGCTGGGTGATTGCCTGGGTTGTCTATAAACGCTACCAAGTGCGTGCACGGACTCTGCTAACTGAATTCCCACTAACTGGAGTCTTCCCCCATCTTCGTTCAAGTCCTTGGCTCCAGAAAAGTGAGCTGCCAGAGCCAGGCCACTGCCTGAGGCCAGGATCGCTGGTGAATATGTCCTTCCCCCAAACCGGATGGATAGGACAGTGCAAATACCACCCAGACGCTGGCTGTAATTCATCTTCCTGTCCAGCGCAGCGCTGCTGGGGCAGGAGATCTCCCCACTGCAAGATGCTTCTGTAAAATCCTTTTAACCACAGCAGATCCTAGGCATTAGGACTGGGGGACAGAGGCATTATTCTGCCAATCAGATGGCCACTGGTTGGCCACGGGGCCAGAGGCAGTGGACAGACAAGTGGAGGCAGCTTTCATGGCCAGGGTTGGCACTGGCCGACCTGCCGCCAAGCTCACACAAGAGCAGCTCCTACCACAGTGCTACGGCGCTGGACAACAGGGACGGGGCTGTCACCTGGAGGCTAGGGGGGCTCGGTACCCACTCTCCACCAAGGAGGCCTGCAGTTCAGTGAGGCACCTGGGCCTATGCAGTGCCCTCACCGCTGCACCAGCTCCAGCCCTCTGGCTGGTTTTGCTGCCAAACCCACCCCTTTCACCTTCTCACAAGAAGTGTCAGGGCCCACGGGGACATGGTCACCAGCTGTTTGGGGTTACCCACAGACTGAGCTGGACCCTGCTCTGTGGCTTCTCCAACCTCCAAGTACATGACATTCAATCTAGAGCTGTTGCTCATAAAACAAAAGGCTGGAGACAGTATAGCAAGTGGGACGCTTGCCTTGCAGATGACTGGCCTATCCCCAGTCATCTATCCCCAGCACCGCACATGGTTCCCTGGGCACCACCAGGAGTGATCCCTAAGTGCACATCTGGATGTGGCGTAAAAAAAAACCTAATAATAGGGGGCTGGAGCAATAGCACAGCAGGTAAGGTGTTTGCCTTGCACACAGCCGACCCGGGTTCGATTCCCAGAATCCCATATGGTCCCCCCAAGCACCGCCAAGAGTCACTTGTGAGTGCAGAGTCAGGAATAACCCCTGAACATCGCTGGGTGTGACCCCCCAAAAAAGAAAAAAAAACTAACAACAAAAAAAAACCCGAGTCCTGGGTTCTTGCTCAGCACCGAGTGGCTCTCTGGGTGCCGGAAATACAGGCATGAGGGACACAGTAAATGGCAGGAGACAGCAGCCAGCACTCCAAAGCCTCAACTGACCTGCTCTTTCGGAAGACTGCTCTAGCCTCCCTGAGTTGGAAGCAGTGGTGAATGGACCATACCCCCCCCCACCACCACCTGCCTTAGTCCCAAAGATGTTCAGGTGAGTTAACCTTTACTCAAGCTCCTTGCTAGGGAAGAAGGTGCATCCACCACTTGGTAATGGACACCCGCCCCCAATGCTACAACCAACCTAAACATATTGACAAAATAGTCTACTGATTGTAGAGCAGAATCTTCAAGTGTTTTTGCTTCCTTTGGGGGCCATACCAGCGGCACTCAGGGGTTACTCCTAGCTCTGAGCTCAGGGATCATTCCTGGTGGGCTTGGGGGACCATATGGGGTTCCGGAAATGAAATGCAGGTGAGCTAAGTGCAAGGCAAACGCCCGGCCTGCTGTACTATCTCTCTGGCCCCTCTTCAATTGTTCGTAAATTATTTTTGTGGTTTATCAAGTCCTGAGAGAGAAGAAAAACCGCCTTCCATAGAGGCAGGCTGCAGGGCGGGGGGAGGAGGGGGAAACTGGGGACATTGGTGGTAGAAAATGTGCGGTGGTACACACCCTGGTGTTGGAACACTGTATGACTGAAACTCAATCATGAATAACTTTGTAACTGGGTTATCTTATGGTGATTCAGTTTTTAAAAATCCTGAAAACAAACAAACAAGCAAAATATATATATATATATATGTATATGGTCAAACTTTTCTTTTTGCTTTTTTTTTTTTTGCTTTTTGGGTCACACCCAGCGATGCTCAGGGGTTATTCCTGGCTCTGCACTCAGGAATTACTCCTGGCAGTGCTGGGGGACCATATGGGATGCCGGAGCTCGAACCTGGGTTGGCCCCGTGCAAGGCAAACACCCTACCCACTGAACTATCACTCTACCCCCTCTTTTTTCTGTTTTTGGGGGGAGCCACACCTGGCAACGTTCAGCCTTACTCTTGGTTCTGTGCTCAGGGGTCACTTCTGGCGGGGCTCAGGAACAATACAGAGTGCTGGGGATCGAACCCAGGTCAGCCACGTGCAAGTCAAGTGCCTACTTGCTTTATCAAGTCTGACTCCAATACAGAACTCACTGGTATACGATGCATGGACAAATTCCCAGACTCTTTTAAGGGAAAAATCGCCCCTCCGACACCTCTGGAGGAAAGCGGAGATGGAAGAAACTGGTTCTACGAGTGACAGTGAATCTGCCAAATGACCTTGGACACAGGTGAACCCCATTCCTCCAGGAGCACAAAACAACGTTCGAAAGAGCTCTGTCTTCAACCGCCCCGACTCCGCCGCAAAGCTCTGCTTCAGTCTCGAGCCACTCTTAGCCGCTAGTTTCACTGCCTTAGGCAGGAACGTCTCCAGCGAATGCCGCTGCCCTCACCCTGACAAACATGCACTTATTTCGGGTGCATCTGTCTTCTGCACCTGCACGGGCGAAGCAGGGCTCAGGCCTTTCCACCTGCCGCAATTCTGGCAGTGGAGCCAACAGGCCACGGGGTCTGAAGGGAGCTGGCGGGACCATATCAGCTCACCTGAGTTCAAGGGTCCCTGTGACAGCGAGGAGGGTGCTTGCTGCCCTGAGTCCGGCCAGGAGGAAGCCCTGAGCACCATGGGTGTGGCCCCCAAAAGAAACGACAACTAAAATAATAATCAAATCAAACCAAACCAAGTGGCAGCATCAGGGCAGTGTGGGAGGACACGGGTGGGGCGAGGTGAGGTGACCCGCGACGGCAAATGAGTCGCAGTCGGCACCGCTGTCGACGCACCACCTAAGCTAGAATAATCTTTTTTGTTTAAAAAAAAAAAACAGTGCAGCCACTCAAGCAGAAGACGATGAGAGTTTGGGTGTTGGCTCAGTAGCGAATATAGGAAGAGTGATTTTGAAATTAGAATTTTGAAGGGAGGGTGATCATACGGCAAGTTTGGGAGTAAAAAAGAAACAAGCTCTAACAATTGGAGGAAGAAGTAAATCCAGCTAAAGTGGGAAAGAAAACCCAGGCCGGGGAAGCGAGAGGCCGAACAATAACATTCCTCACAAATGGCATCACAGGGGGAGGCGACCCTGGCCGCTCCTCCGCCATCCATGGCTTGTCCTCGGACTCTGTCGTCTCCATGTCAGCTGCAGATACAGCCACAGCGGGGTGTCCCCTTTGGATTGGACCCAGCAAAGGGATTCTATTACCTGCCCCTTTTTGCACTCATTACCTCCTCTCCGAGGAAAGAAAACACGACTTTTCACCCATCAGCTAATCTGTTTTCTTTTTCCACAAAGGACTTGCACGCTTTAGGGGTCGGCGTGGTGTCCAGCGGAGAGTGCGAGCCGAGCCTGCCAGCCCTCCCTGGCAGGACCACTCTTCGGGCGGCCGCGACAGGCGACAGCGCGTGCACGTTGGTGACGGGAGCATGCCAAGCGGGCAGACCGGGAGAGCATGGCTCGTGAGAGGTTTGGGATCTCCGGGATCTGAGATAAACCATCAATCCCCTCCCTAGAAAAATGTGCCTCCACTTACACCCCGAGTGCTGCCCTCCCCTGATGCTGAAAATGCGGCTGGGCTGGCCGGTCCAGTTCTGCGAAGCGCACAGCTGCAGGGGAGTCTGCTCGTCTGCTCCCTAGCCCAGAGCTCAGGGCCCAGAGTAGCCCGGGCAGCCTGCGGAGGCCTGGCGCCAGGGCAGGACGGCAGCCCTGCCTGCGCAGGCGGAGACGGCGCAGAGCGGGGCCACGGCACCCCCGGCATCAGCTCCGTGTGGCCCTCCACTGCGGCCTGACCAGCTCGGTTCCCCTCTAAGGAATAACCGCAAAGCTTCCTCATGCCAAAGTCCATGCGGCCACAGGCCATCGTCCAAGAGGCTAAAGGCGTCTACACCGCCAGCCTCTGCGATGCTCTCCCAGGAGAAAGGGCTGGGCCCCAGGGTTCCCTGGGGGTCACGGGCTAGAATGGGGATGCTGTGGGACGCCCTGAGAGCGAAGACTCATACTCCCTCGAGGCGGCCTCTATGCAGCTGCCAGGCCACTCATGGC